AAAAAAAATTCAGTTACAATTTTATATCACAGTACGAAAAAGTCTTTCAACTTACTACATGTTTCTATTAATGCCTCCTGAGGATCTGTTCCTATGTTAATGGTATGATTATTTACAACCAAACAACTCTCACCAAAAATTTCGTCCATTTCTGTCATATATGGTATAGTGCGAGGAGCAGTTCCTGTTTGCCTTTCATTGTCTTTGGCAGACTTGTAGGCTTTTAAAAGCGTACGCATTTTCGCAAAAAGTGCGTCTGTGGTAACCGTTGTATCCTAAAATACAAATATGTAGGTAATTTAATATTAAATTAAATATGCACAATTCTTACCACAAAACCTTGGAAAATCATATCTTCCAAAACATTTTGATATGCATATTTTTTTTTACGTGCATGAAGAAATTCTTTCTTCCTTTCCGCATAGCATTTGAGGAAAAGGAGCGTCTCCGCCCTCGTCCATACTTTTCTCTTGTTATAATTAAACAAAAAAGTAATAATAATTCATTTATGAAAAATTATGAAAATAACCTTTTTCCCGTGTCAGTCATCGTTAAAGATTTTTCTCAACTCATTAGAGATGTGTAACACAGCACAGTGCTGTGCTACTGTGCTGACATTCGTCAATTTGACGCACGCACAGGCGCAATTTTCGATTAAATTATATCACAGTCGCACACGTGGCACAATATTAAATTACATCCTGGGCAGTGTTTTTAGCACACTAGGCCATGATTCAACAACTACAGGTTGTATCAATCGTACAAAAACAACATTTACCGTTGGTATGAACTCGTTGTGTCAACTACAGCTTCTTTATGTATTCATATTCGTATGTATATGTATACTCTGCATACCAGGATTTCAGAGTATTCTGAATGGTTTCAGATTTTTTTTAAAGAATTTTCTTTAAGAAATCGTACAGAAATTTTTTTACCAGTTCTTGTCAACCGCTTCATATGTTTTTCTTTAAAGATTCCTAAAAGATCTAAACCTTTTCTACTTGATATAAATTTCATTCTACATATATTTTTTAGCAACTTAAGTAAAGTTCTGCATCCGCCAGTTTCTACAGCCATACATAAAAAGAAATAATGAAGTTACTTTATTGACGCATTGCTATGAAAGAGTTACTGTTTAACAGTGAGATTTGGCTAACTTTCAATTTTTTACTGAAACCGGTGGTGAACACTCAAAAAAAAGGCCCTAAGAGGGGCATAACATGAAAGAAAAAAACGGAATAGATTTGAAATCAAGCGCAGTAGAGAAGTAGATTTAAAATTTTTTCAAAAATCGCAGTAAATCTAATCTCTTCTTAGTCAACTCCAAACACTAGTAGGGGACAAATTTTTTTAAATTTTAACGCTAATGACCGACAGATGGGGGGAAAACACAGGGTTGTATCAGACTTTCGACGTGGTTTCGAGTTGGTTAGCTTTTAACCATCTCAGTGAAATGGTTAAGTGCTGTCATTTATATATGGCGAAACTACGCTAAATCAAGTGGGTTATCGGGACAACCAACTCAACAGTCATAACTACGTGGTTAGCTCCAGTGGGGATAAGGTATTAAAGATTTCGGGAACATTTGTTTGCAGGGTATATATTTACGTGTATGTGTATGTATACGCGGTTATGTAAACAAAGCAAAACAGGCGATAATTTGACACAACCGTGCTCGTTTTTGAAAAATGCACTAGGCCTGGGTAGCGGCGCAAATTTTTTGGTGCTGACACACTAATTCCAGCACCACTGCCGAAATCAGCACAGTGTGTTGGCGCAATTGCGCCTCTTCAGGCTAAAGCTCATTTCCTTTATTGCCAAGGTGAATTAATACAAGGTGGGATCGGTTGAAAAAAAACAACTCAAGTATACCCAAGTTCAAAACCCAAAAATACAACAAACACATAATTTTCATATTCAGAAGGACCGCGGCTAATTCTAGCAAAACCACCTTGTAAAAATTCACCTTGTGCTGCACATTTTACAAGTGACACTTCTCTTTTGTGTGTTCTTTGCTGGTTCTTGGCGACGCCCGGTGTTGTCTGTGTTCTGGTGTTGCTGGCGCCATTGGGTTACTGAGTTGTGAAAATCAGTATCAGCGCCAATAACTCAGCTCTCGGTATCAGTGCAATGGCTATAGCACACTGTGCTGTGTGATCGCAAAACACAAGGAAATGGCAAATTCGAGCGATAAGTCATGGAGCAAGGCGGATGTATACATAATGGGCCGAATGCATAAAAACTAAGCAATTGCTTTTTCTTAAAATTCCATACGCTTGACTTAAATTTATTTAAACAAATCCAGTAAAAGGTGTGAAATTTTAAGAAAAAGCATTTGCTTAGTTTTTATGCATATAGCCTAATGTATAAATTCGCCTTGTCATGGAGTTTCTTGATCGATTTTGAATAGGTAGCAATAACACAATTGTGCCAACACAGTGTGTTAACACTTCATTGTGTGCATGTGCTACTGTGTCAACACACAAAAAATTGTGCCATTACCCACCTCTACAACTCATACAGTATTGCCAGCACACACATATCAGGTGTTGCCAGCATAATTTATAACTAAGTCATGACAAATTAAGCTAGATTCGTTTTATTTGACCCAGATTAAGCTATTAGCTTACCGCGCTCAAATAAAACACGCCTAATACTACACAGTTGCAAGTTTTTCTGTTTCTTAATGCTAATTCATATTCAGAAATTTACGAACTATCGATGATGTAGATAATATCACAGATTTTTGTATGGCCCCTCGCTTTTCTACCATGTTGAATTTTTCCAGGCTAGTGTTCAATGATTTTGGAATAACTCCTGTTGTCGAAATTATAACTGGAATCACCTCTACTTTTTCTAATTTCCACAAATCCTTTATCTCGTATGCTAAGCTCTGGTATTTTCTGTATTTCTCCATATAACAATCTTGAAGATTGTGAGTATTTGGTACGCCTATATCTATGAGGAACGCTTGATTCACTTCTTTTTCGACCACTATTATGTCCGGCCTGTTGTGTGGCATTGGACGGTCCGTCAAAACTGATCGGTCCCAATATAGCTTGCTCGTTCTGTTTTCAATTACAGCGTCTGGAGTATATTTAAAGTACGGCAGCTCTTCCGTTACTAGCTTATGTTGTATCGCTAGACTCTGGTGTACAATTTTTGCCACCTGGTTATGTCTGGTTAAGTATTCGGTGGCTGCTAACGTGACACAAGCTCCTGTGATGTGGTGGATGGTTTCTGTTTGCTTTTGGCATCGTCTGCATAGGTCGTTTTCAACGGTAGCACGCATAATATATTTCGAGTAGTTTCTAGTCGCAATAACTTGATCTTGTATAGCGATCATAAAACCTTCAGTTTCGGCGTAGATACCGGAGTGAATTAACCATTCGTTGGAAGCAGCGTTATCTACTTCAGGAGCGTCTAGAACATGCANTTCGTTGGAAGCAGCGTTATCTACTTCAGGAGCGTCTAGAGCATGTGGATATCTGCCATGAACCGCTTTCATTTTCCAGTCTTGCATGAGCGACTGGATATGTTGCGTTCCTGATATTAATTCGATTGCAGAAAATTCACTAAGATTTAATGGTGAATATTTTAAATCGGCTTTGCACACGGTTTGGAGTAGGCTGTTCTTTTGGTTGTGGAAGTATAAACGAAGGCTCTGTTTACACTTATTATGTAATTGCTTAATGTCTACCATCCCTCGACCTGCTGTCGAAGTGGCAAGTAGAGACGTTCTACTGCCGATTTTGGGTGATGCGTGCCATACTTTGTCAACAATGTCCTTGTTGCTCTCTTGACGTTTTCCAGTTCTGTTTCGGACCATTTTACTACACCAAAGGTGTATGTTAAAACCGGTATCGCAAATGCATTAATGGCTTTAAAAAGGTTATACCCATTCAAGCATGATTTCAGCAAGCTCTTTACTCTTTGGAGGTATTCACTAGTTACGGCTCAAACTATTTCACTGTGCTGCATCCTCCTAGCCTGTAAAATACCAAGGTATTTATATGTGTCGCCTTCTGTCATTGAGTCTACAGATTCATGAGTCATTAATTCAAATTCTCGCCTTATAAGTTTTCCATTTTCCACACTTAATCTTCGACATTTTTCTACTCCAAACGACATTTTTATATCATTTGAAAAATCTTCTGTTTGTTCCAGTAGCGTATTCATTTGACGTTCATTTGCAGCATATAGCTTTATGTCATCCACGTACAGTAGGTGTGAAAGTCTATATTGCGATACACGCGGTGCTTTTAAACTAAAGCCGTAGTTTGACGCATTTAGTATCGAAGAAAGTGGATTTAGCGCCAGACAAAACCATATCGGACTCAAGCTATCTCCTTGGAAAATACCTCTTTTAATAGGTATGGGAGCGGTTTTTATGAGTCCGTTATTATGAAATAGTTTTAAAGTAACTTTCCATGAGTTCATAAGTTGCTGCATAAGACGTTTTATGTTCGGCGATATTTTATAAATGTCTAAAACCACAAAAAGCCAAGAATGCGGAACAGTGTCAAAGGCTTTTTTGAAGTCAATATAAGATGTATAAATATTTCTTTGATTATGGTATGCTTGCTGCTCTTTGCAGCCTTTGCTGTTTTTAACACATCCTTTTTGTTCGATGGCTAGAATGTGGTGCGTATCAGNGGAACAGTGTCAAAGGCTTTTTTGAAGTCGATATAAGATGTATAAATATTTCTTTGATTATGGTATGCTTGCTCCATTATGACTGTATCAATTATCAGCTGCTCTTTGCAGCCTTTGCTGTTTCTAACACATCCTTTTTGTTCGATGGCTAGAATGTTGTGCGTATCAAGATGAGTACATATTTTTTCGGCTAAACAAGATGTAAGAATTTTATATAGGGTACATAGGCACGTGATGGGGCGATACTTAGAAGGGTTCTTCGTATCTTTTGGGTCCTTTGGTAGCAGATATGTACATCCCTTCATTTTTTTTATTTTATTTTTTTTTCGTAGGAGAGGGAGATGCGTTATGCACTGGCCGGGGGCGCTAGTCTCTATACTACCTTCCCCGAGTGTGGGACTCCCACCGAAGCGTGTTGGGCTACCCACTAAAACCCAAACTCCCACCGCCCGCGCAAGAATCCCGCATCTGGCACCGCAATTCTGCATGTCTTCAGATGCAGGAGCGCGCTGTTAGAGCCTTGGGGCTGCTCTTTTGTAGGGGCGTTTCATTCGGGTGTCCTCAGTAGACAACCGTCCTCTCGTTTGCAGCGGAGTACGAATTTCACGTATCTCGCAACTGCTTCCCACTTTTCTGCGCTGGAAATCATTATCCCAACTATGTTGTCCGGAGTAATGTCTCCGTGTCTTTCTTCCAACATTCTGCGCGAAATCAAGAAGTGTTCGCAGGTGAAGAATGTGTGGTACACGTTATCTTCGACGTTTCCACAGTAGTGACAGAACGGTGAGTCCACCCTTCCCATTCTATGAAGATATTCTCGGAAGTAACCATGAGCGGTGAGGAATTGCGTCAGGTAGGAATCGACTTCCCCATGTGGTCTGTTCAGCCATGTTTGAAGGTCGGCTATCAGGGAGTGTGTCCATCGACCTTTTGTGCTCGCGTTCCAGTTTTGTTGCCACTGCTGGATCAGTTGCTCGCGCGCCCTTGCCGCGGCAGCTGCTCGACCTATCTCGGCACTGAGATTGTAAATCTCTTTTCGCTCGTAAGCAAGTAGCTCAATTGGCATGACGCCAGAAATAACTAGAACCGCGTCCGCGGACACTGTACGGTATGCAGAAGCAATGCGTAGTGCCCCTCTGCGCTGTAC